ATGTCAGTAAACACAATAAAGCTGCTGCCTTAAGGATTTTTTTTTCGAGATGAAGACATGCTTTTATTAAAACTGGAAGTTAGTGTAAAGTGGTGCAAAAGCAGTTTTACCAAGGACAAAAGGGATAAATTGTGGGCTGGGAGTTGAAGCAGACAAGACTGCTCGTGGCGGGACCAGCAAATGTTGGTACAAAATCTGCCACGTGGTTTCCAGAGCGTCTCAACGCAGACTCTTCCTCCCCCACCATCTCTAAGTGCTCCTACTATGCTTTAAGAACAGAATCGTACCAAAGTTTCTTTAACCAGTCATCTGTTCTCGGGCACTCGGGTTTTTTTTCCAGATTCTGGCTATTGCAAAGAGTGCTGCAATGAACAAACAAGTGCAGATGTCACTTCGACTTTTTTGCCTCTCTGGGATATATTCTGAGGAGTGGTATTGCTGGGTCAAATGGGAGCTCAATGTCTAATTTTTTGAGGATTTCCCATACTGTTTTCCAAAAGGGCTCCATGGCTTGGAGGCCAGCCACACACGCTAGGGGGAAAGGGAGCTCAGATAGAGAAGGGAGCACCAAATAAAGGGTGTTGGGAGGATCCTCCCAGGATGGGAGAAGCATGCTGAAAGTAGACTATAGACCAAACATGATTGTCACCCATTGCCTCTTTTGCAAACCACAACACCCAAAAGGAGAGAGAGAACAAAAGGGAATGCCCTGCCACAGAGGCAGGGTGGGATGGGGGTGGGAGAGTTACTGGGATCCGTGGTGGTGGGAAATGGGCACTGGTGGAGGGATGGGTATTTGATCATTGTATAGTTGAAACCCAAGCACAAAAATTTGTAAGTCTACAACTGTACCTCATAGTGTCTCACTAATAAAAAATTTAAAAAAAAAAACAGAATCATTTTACCAATGGACTAAAAAAATACTTTCAAGCAGCTGAAACTCAATGAACAGGACAAGGGAGCAGAGCAGATAGGGCATGTGCCTTGCATGCATTTGACCCAGGTTTGATTTCCGACATGGTTCTCCAAGCACTGCCCGGAGTGCAGAGTTGGGGTAACCCCTAACCATCGCCAGGTGTGGCCCAAAAACAAACCAAAGGGGAAAAAATGATCAGGATTAAGTGAGCTCAAGAAGGGTTGGGACAAAATGAGACTAGAAAACACAGACCACGTTTGTAGATTTAAAAATATCCCTTTCAAGGCTAGAGAGGACAGTGGGGAGGGCTCTTGCCTTGCATGCGCCTGACCTGGGTTCGATCCCTGGTACCCCATAGAGTCCTCAGAGCACTGCCAGGAGTGATTCCTGAGCACAATGCCAGGAGTAAGTGGAGGATGGCTCCCAAACAAAAAAAAAATCCCCTTCAGGTGAAGGACCTAGTGAGTGAGTTCCTCAAACTCCTTTTGACAAAGTTATTTTGAGCATGCCAATAAAAGCTAAACTTTTATTATGGAGAGCTGTTCTGGTTTTGAAAAAAATTAATATTGAAGAGTATTTAATGTCAGAAATATCTTTTTTATATCTTTATTCTTCAAGCTTCATGTCAAGTTACAAACAAATAGTCCATACCACGTCGCTATTAGATTATGGTGTACACACTTCTTCAGGCAGAAAACAGCAATGACCAAGAATACACACAAAAAAGGAACAGTGACTAACCAATTGCGGAGCATAGAAAGACTGGGTTCTAACTCAGCGTGGGCTGGTGGTACTAAGTGAACCCCTTTCAACACACCACATTTACTTACACAAAGGCACTTCCACCCCCCCACCACACACACACACACACACACACACACACACACACACAGTTTTTAGAAACTCTATAAATTGTATCACCAGGACTCACTGTTTAAAAACTATAAAATCTTGTGGGTTTTTTTTTAATTGTTTTTTTGCTTTTGTTTTTTTGTAGCAAACGAAACACTACTCCAGATAACCTGTTTTGAAACACTGCTGAGAAAAATGTGAAACATTAAAAGTCAAGGATTGCCAAAGCAAAGTAGTGGAACCCGAGAAATAGTACAGCAGGTAGGGTGTTTGCCTTGTACAACCCGGGTTCAATCCCCAGCAACCCATAGGGTCCCCCGAGCACTGCCAGGAGTAATTTCTGAGTGCAGAGTCAGAAGAAACTAACCCCTGCCTGAGATTACTGTGTGACCCGAAAGAAAAAAAAAAAAACCAAAGTAGTGTTTGAAAGCAAATACCACTCTGTTCTGTTGTCAGTAAAAAAAAGCCTTTTTTTCTCCCTTAAAGTTTATTTTTTGGGGGGGTTGGACCACACCTGGCAGTACTTGAAGGGGTAGGAGGGTAAGGGCGGGCAGTCTAGTACTAGGGACCAACCCAGACTTCCCATAGGGTAAGGGCCGGCGGTCTAGTACTAGGGGCCAACCCAGACCTCCCACATGAAAAACAAGCAGTTTTGAGCTCTCATCAGCACAAGGAAAGCAGGGAATGCGGGCAGAGAGACAGTAGAGGTAGACAAACTGCTAAACTGACCCTAACAGCAAAATATTAATTATTGCTCCTACAGACAAGGAGATAGTTTAAAGGCTCAAGTTCATGCTCTTGCCTGCTGAGTCCTGGGTTCAACCCCCAGAGCGGCCCCCAAGATCCTCCAGGTGTGGCCCCCAAACCAAAGAAATAAAATTCTCCCTGTAGCTTCTTCCCAGAAAGACAAGTTCACAGGAACTACTTTAAAAAGGGATCGTGAGTCTATTTTCATGTGTGTTAAACACAGCAATTTCCTCGGCAATGCCTCAAAGTCTCCCTCCCCAAAGACCTTCAGCTCAAACATTTTTTAGAATTATTACATTTGCAAAGTGGTTTCATTTGTTTTTTTTTAAAAATCAACATTTTTCTTATGAATGGGTAATACTAAGTGATATTTATTCAAGTCATTTAAGATGATGTGGGTTAAAACAGTAATAATTTGTTGGCAAGGGAATTCTCATTTTAAAATTTCCACTATAGCAACTGACATATATTTTAAGACTAAAAAGACTAAAATACTGGAAAAGGATCTAGACTAGCTGCAGACTAAACAAACCAACGTTTCCAAAGATGTTTCTGAAAAGAAGAATTGCATAAACTGGTCGATTAGTTCCTGTTTGAGTTCATCGATCACTGATTGTAACAACAAAATTATTGGAGTCAGGGATGAAGAACTGAGAGGGAAAATACAATTCCCTCTATGCATGGAATCTGGGGTTCTATCCCTGACAACACACACACAAACACACAACACACACACACACCCTTTTGAAACTACTCTCTCACACACACCTTTTTGAAACAATTTTTTTCTCTCTCATACACACACACACACACACACACACACACACACCCTTTTGAAACTAAATTTCCTAAAGACAATGTAACACTAACAAATTCTCTCTGCCCACCCCAATTTTACTTTTTACATCATGATAGTAGTCCCATCTCATTCCTATTTTCACTCCCCTTAGTAATTTTTCTAAGTTTTACGGATTTAAAACATTCAGAATATGAACATAATACAAAGATGCTCTAAACCAAACATCATATTGCGACAGTATCTGTCAACGAGGTCAGATGATCACCCACTACCCTATGCAGATCTACTTCTACACCTTTCCATGCTTTCTTTTTGCCTCTTGCCTGATGTTTAAACTGAGGATCTAGAGGGGATCTAGGCTGGAGACGTTAGTTCAACAATGAAGAAGATGCCTTGAATGCGTTGGAGGTCACTGGGTTCGCCCCAGAGACACCAAAGGATATGAGAATTTCTCATTTGCTTGCTTGGGGACCATACCCAGCTGTGCTCAGGGCTTCCTCCTGGTGCCAAAGGTCAAACTTGGGCTGGCAGCATGCAAGGCAAGCGTCTTACCCACTATACTTTCTGGCCCCCAGTAATTTTTGACAATCTTGATTTGATACTGCAGTACAGTATTACTCCTGATAATGCTGGACTAACAGACAAGCAACATGCATATGAAAACAGTCTCATCATATAAGCAGGGTTCTTAGAACAAGACCTCCCTCCCCAATAAAGTGTCCACGTGGACGTGACTTATAAACTAAATCTGAACCGTGATTAGAAACATTCCAAATTATTTCATTTTCTAGTGTAGGAAGATTACAGTAGAAAGGGAAAAGGTTCATTTTGATCTTTTGGGGAGGCAGTGGTGCTCTGGGCGACATTCACCAGTGCTCAAGGGCTAAGTCCTAGCTCAGTGCTCAGGCTAACTTTTGGCAGTGCCTGGGAGACCAATGAAATGCTAAGAATATAAGGTGTCTTATCCCCAAAACTGCCCCTGTGGTCTGGGTTATTAGCAGACGTTCACAACCATAACAACGCAAACTTTCACAAATACCTTTGCCCCAGCACTGCTGGGTTTGGTCCTGGAAGCCCCAGGCATTGCATGCATTGCTGGGCCCAAACACTGATCTGGTTAGCCCAGTTGGTCCAGTACTTTGGGGGCGTCCCCTTGGATACCTGAACCCCGCTTCCTGCACACACCAAATTTCAAAGCAAACGAAAAACACCCTAACATGAAATGACCCTCACCTGAATCTAGGGACCAGGGATGCGGGCTCAAATGTAAGAGCATCTTGTGTAGGTGAGGTCCCGGGCTTCACCTTCGACCTGGTGTGGACCCCGAACCACAAAAACATTGAAATGAGGAAAGCCGGGTAGGGGATGAGTGTAGAAGAATAGTACACAACAACTTTCCATGCCTGATGTATTAAATATAGACAACTCAACATTCTTAATGGTCAACGAAGAGAATTTTTGACGTTTATTTTTTAAAATCCTCCCCTCTCAGAATGACTCCCACTTCAACAGTCAACTAGAAGTCCAAGCATTCCGACGATAACCTTCTGGTCTTAGTAACGGTTGCTGTGTTTGCCCCCAGACTACATACATACAAGCATTTTATCTCATGCAGTACCGACCACGCTTCCTAAGTAAAAAAAAAACAGACATAAAGAAGAAGCTTCCATATATAGTCAAGAGGTCTCGCTTTCTTAAAACGTAAGTGTGGGTATATTTATTTCTCTCAAAGGCATACAGGACAATAATTACAGAGCAACAAATCTTTTGTTCAACAATGATCTGATTTATAAGCATTTGAAATTTACATAATTTCACATCCTTGCATTTTTTAAATACAGTAAGTAAAAAAGCCCCTCCCCCAATAACCAATTTTTTTTTTATATATCCTATGTAATCCCTCTATACATCCAAACTTTTAAAAAGTTACAAACTGAACATTATACAGAACATAGAAATCATGTCTTAAAAACTGAGGTCTTAAAAGTACTGTTGGTTCCCCCACAGGATTCAGAGTCCTCATGCTGACAGGTGCAGTCCTGGGTGGGTGGCACACTGGAGGAGGGGGGAGAAAGAAGAGACAGACACGAGTTTGCTGTCTTAATCGTTTACTAATCCTGTCAGTTAAAAACGGTGATGCCGTGAGAAGCAACAGTTTAGGTTAAATAGGAGGAACGAGTTTGCCTCTCGGACTGAGACGTGCGATTCAAGTATTTTCCCATTTGCTCTGAGCTCCCTGCAGCGGACGGAGGCTGAAGGCGGACCGTCCGTCCCTCCTCCCGTCACTTCCTCCCGTACATGCGCTCAATGTCCGCCTGGTAATGGGTCTTCAGCTCTTTGCGCTTCAATTTGAAGGCGTCTGTCACTAGGCCGGTCTCAGGGGTCCACGGTTCGGGGCTCAAACGAATCTTTACAGGAATTTCAAACTTTTCCAGACTTGCTGAGATGGTGGAGAGGATGGGGGTGGAAAAAAAAGAAAAAAAGAAAAAAGTGAATGCATGGGCCTGAAGGTTGTACAATTTGAATTCTTAAGAAGCAGGTCCAGCAAGCTCTAGATAAGAGAGAAAATCGTTAGTACTTAATTTGTAATCTAACTCCAGTACAGCTCATCCTAAAAGGTAAGTGAAGGCTTGTTTTTCAAGCCCGAATGCTCCCTTGAACGCGTACCTTTTTTGCTTGTCTCTTGCTTTGCTTTTCCTGCTCTGGAGAAGTCCATGTTCTCTCTTGAACATCTATTTATTCCGTGCCCCCCCCCGCGCCCCCCCTCGCATCTAAGTTCTGTTCCACTGACACTATCTTGCTTCACTAAAAATAAATAAATAAAAGATATATGAAAAACAAAGGACTGCTTACTTAGAGGGATGATTTATTAGATAGCTTGCGCATACGTGGAAAATGTAACTGCATGTACTTCCTTTAATAAAATTATGAGTTGTAACTTTTTTTATTTTTTTCTCGTGTTTGGGCCACAACTGGTGGTGCTCAGGGCCTACTCCTGGCTCTGCATTCAGGATTCACTCCTGGTGGGACTCTCGGGACCATATGGAGTTGCCAGCATTCGAATCTGGGTTGGCCACATGCAAGACAAGCACCCTACTATCTCTTGGCCCCACCAGTTGTAACACTTTTTTAATGTTCAGTTTTCTGGTCTGGACTCCATTCAGGAGGAGAGAATTGAAATTGGGAAAATTAACATATTACATGTATATCTATACGTAGATAGATATAGATACAGAGAGAGAGAGATAAATGGGCTGGAGTGATAGCAGGACTGGAGTGATAGCACAGCGGGTAGGGCGTCTGCCTTGCATGTGGCCAACCCGGGTTGATTCCTTCGCCCCTCTCGGAGAGCCCGGCAAGCTACCGAGAGCATCTCGCCCCCACGGCAGAGCCTGGCAAGCTCCCCGTGGCGCATTCGATATGCCAATAACAGTAACAACAAGTCTCACAATGGAGACGTTACTGGTGCCCACTCGAGCAAATCAATGAACGGGAGGCCAGTGATAGTGAGAAGCAGCAGCATTAAGTTTTCATAATTTACAACTAATATTATATCCCATAATAAGCTGCTAGGTTAAAGGGGCAGGTTTTGCCTTCATGCAAGATAAACTTACACACGGCATAGCAGGTACAACACTTCCTTTGTGTGTGGCCAACCCAGATTTGATCCCTAGCACCCTGTCAGGTGTAGCCCCCAAACAAAATCCAAACCAACCAACCCTAAAAAGTACACATACATAAAAACGAACACATAATATTTATATGTAGGCTAAGGAGGATACGTATCACCATATCACACTGTCAACTGCACACCATCTTTAAAAGGCCCAGAACGCAGGAGCAAGGAAAAGGAGTGTCTTTTTTTTAAAAAAAAAAAAAAAAGAAAGAAAGAAAGAAAAATTATTTGCATTAGGACCACATCTGTGGTGCTCAGGGCTTAGTCCTGGCTGTGTCAGGGGTCACAGGGCCAGGACGCAGGGCCACTGGGTCTAAGGCAAGCACCTCGCCAGCTATCTTCTCTCTCCAGCCCAAATGGATGCCACTGCTTTGCTTACGGAATGGAATACCCAAGGAGAAAGGTGGAGACCACTCAAGAAACTGGGCAGTGCCTTCTGGGCCAAGCTGGCTGGTCTGTTGTCCATTGTTCCCCACACCCATTGCAGACTTGGCAGAGTCTGGCCGTGTGACTGTCATTCTGTGGGAATTAACTGGCTAAGGGCCTGGGCACGGCACGGGAGGCGACTATGTGAAGTTTTAGGATTCATCCGCGTAGGCCAGAGATCCCAGCAAGTCAGATACCACGAACACGCTGACAACTGCCAAGTGAGTCAATGAAATCACATTCAATGGGGAGCCACTGGTGGGGAGTGCGTTTGTCGGGGGCTGCGCTGAAGCTTTTATGTGGCTCTTAAGTCTATACTCCATTTATTTTATACGAAGAAAATGATCCTAGATAATCTAGATGGGTCCGATCCAATCACTTGAGAAGCTTTAAGACGAGATCTGAGATTGCCAGGCGCATCTGGATCCCCGAGCCCAGCCCCGCCTCTTGACAGCCTGTCCCAGTTTCTAACCTTCCCTTGCCAACTGCCAGTGCACCCAGGAACCAGTCTGCATATTTCTTAATTTACATACTTACTGACTCCGTTTCTCCTGCTTAAAAAGAATCAAACAGGATCTTTCCCCCATCGCATGCAAAAATTAACAGAATGGATTAAGGAGCTGGAGCTACAGGGACACATCTTTGTGACCTGGGTTAGGCAAGTCAGATATGACGTTAAATGTTCAAGAAACAAAATTATTATCTGTATCTTAAGCTGTTGTCCTTCACAGAGTCTATAAAAAAAAAAAAGTTAAGCAGAAAAAAATTTACAAACCACCTGTATCTGGTGTCTAGACCAGACAGAGGCAAACCAAAAGGGCAGTGAGATACCACGCCCCTCACACCCACACACTGCCCAGACGGAAGAGGACAGTGTGGGCCGAGGTGAAGAAACGAAACCCCTCCTACGACTCCGGTGGCAATGAAAAATGGTGCCACAGTTTCAGAACAGTCTCGGTAGTATTTGGAAGAAAATATTCTGGTAGTTTCTTCTTCTTTATTTTATTTATTTGCTTTTTGGGTCACACCCGGCGATGCACAGGGGTTACTCCTCCTGGCTCTACACTCAGAAATTACCCCTGGCAGTGCTCAGGAGACCATATGGGATGCTGAGAATCGAACCCAGGTCGGCCACGTGCAAGGCAAACACCCTACATGCTATGCCATTACTCCAGCACTGGTAGTTTCTGCACTGGTAGTTTCTGTTTTAAAAAAAACAAAAAAAAAATTTTTTTTTAATGAATCACCATGAAATCAAAAAGCTGTTCATGCTTGGGTTTCAGTCATACAGTGTCCCAACACCCGTCCCTTCACCAGTGCACATCCCACCACCAATGTCCCCAGCTCCTCTCCTGCCTTCTGGTAGTTTCTGAAGAGCGTCAATATAATAAACCGGAGCTCAGTATAAGGTCTTAAGGCGAGTCCTAGATACGACACGGGAGAAATTGGGATGTGCAGTCAATAACCAGTATTTTCCCTGAGCGGGCACACAACAATGAGATACATGGGGACTTATTTGGCCACAAAAGGGCCTGGAATATGGACACACCCCACATGTAGGAAGAACGGACACTGCAGTGAACTCTGTGGAAGGGACCAGATATGGCACAGGAGAGATCGTCTCTGGTTCTCCTTACGTACAATACCCAGATGGGCAAATCTAGGGAGACCCATGTCCTGGGAGCGTTGGGGAGTGATGTTAACAGGTGCAAGAGTTCTTCCTGGGGTGATGACAAGGTCCTAAAACTGTGATGATAGCTGTACAATTCAGCAAATATACTAAAAATGAACTAAATACATTACATGGCTGAGTTGCATCATATGTGAATTACATCTCAGTAGAGCTGCTAAAATATGCAGAAAAAACACTTTTTAATGGAAAGCACATGAATTCACAATTATGCTTACTGATTCATCATTCCAACTTACTTAGAAATTACATAGGTTTCTAATTGGTACTCATCAATCCATTCAATTTATCATCAGCCCAAGGTTATTTATATGCTGGAAAAAAGAACGGTTTTCAAGGTGACATTCTAGCGCGCATAATTGCAACTGAAGTGGAGGGTCAGAATGATTCCATCTGGTTAAGTGGAAATTTACATGTTTCAGCCTCGCATTACAAGGGGAATAAAATGCAAACTTGAACTTGGAAGCTGGACCAATAGCTCAGTGGGCAGGGCGTTTGCCTTGCATGCAGCTGACCCGGGTCTGATCCCTGACATCCCATGTGGTCCCTCAGCACTGCCAGGAATCATCTCCTGAGTGCAGAGCCGGGAGTAACCCCTGAGCATCTCCAGGTGTGACCCATAAAGCAAAACAATAAATAAAAATAAATAAAACTTAAAACTACAATGCATACTTACATTAGAAGGCTGATGGCTCAGAAAGGATAGGTGCTGTGATTAATCCACAAATGTTAAACCACTCTCACTGCCTCTCCCACCAAAAGGAGAGCCACGAATACGCCAGGACAGCCAGCGACCAGCACGCTAACGTGCAGGATGCTCCAAGCCTGCTGGCTGGACTCTGCCGGGGGTGGCCAGGGGCTGCCCAGGGCCCTGGGCACAAAGGAGGTGGTGGCAGTGGGGGGGGGGGGGGCGCGCAGGGGGGCCTGGGGAAAGGCCAACCCCGCTCCAGGGAGACAGGAACATTCTGGCACTTGGTCTCCCTGTCTCCAAGGAGTAGACGACTGGAAAAGGGGTTTGGAAGAAACCTGGCTAGGAACGTTCTGTCTCCTCGGGGTAGGAAGATACTTCTTTGCAGGCAAGGAACGCTGCCCGCCTGGAGACTCTCGCTCACCTGAAATAGCAGCTTCAGAAAGCACTTTCAGGACCTCATTCTCCATCTCGCAGCTGTTACACAGCTCCTCCCACGTGCCCTGCAGCCCCTTCCTGCGAGCCAGCTCCGTCAGCTCCTTCTGATTTGGCACGACAAAGCCGATGACGTAGGAATGGTAACTGCAACACAGACAAAGGAGCTGAGGCTCAGGAACCAGGGGGAGCACACCCCGTCCACGGCAGCTCCCGGTGGTGACTCCAACACGGTGAGTCGCCGACACGTGACCCGACATCACCACTTCTCTTCTGCCGGCTAACCCGTCAGATGCTTCCGTGTCTGACAGAGCTCACGGCCTAACTACATCTTGACATTTTACCATTTCAAGCATTAATGGTGCCATATAAACTACCAGAAAATTCAGGGTAGAAAAAAGAAAACAGGTCAAGCAAAAACAAAAACTAATATCAATCAGATTTGGCACTCAGAGAAATCGGGCAGGCAGCAAACAAGCAAACGAGTTCTTCCCCTTTACTAATGAGTCAAGTGGTGATATTCCTACCCCTTCACTGACAGATCACGGAAGATCCCGCCAAGGACAGTGCCAGGCTGCACTGGCAATGGCCTCCAGGGTCACCCGGGCAAAAGCCGGACCCCGGACACTGCTGAAGAAAAGACGTCCAGGCTGATTAACGGCCAGGCACATTTCTAATCACGGGAGTGATCTGGACTGTACCTTAAAGTCTTTCTAAACTGCATCTGTGGATCTGGGGTTTCACGTTTTACCTTAATGATCATTAACCACTGGAGGAAAAATAAACCCCGAGACCCGTCAGATGAGGTGATCGTAAGTTAACTCTGGAGAATGATTACCCCACGCAGTACCGTTAAGCAAACGCCAACACACTTCCCAAGAAATAATCTCTGGTTCTTGAAAATCCCGTCGCAAGAGCCTCGGCGGCAGCAGCAGAGGCTGGAGACGCTCACTCCGGCCACCGCTCCCCGTGAGTCGGGTGCAGGCCCTCAGGCCTGGCCGGGCTCCCAAGCAAACGCCAGCTGAGTAGGCTCACTGATGCCGAAAGATTCCCCATGCACTGGGATGGGGAGCGAGGGGAGACCAAGAGGCGATTCTGATTTTCATTCCCTTCCAACCACAGACAGAATGTTGGAGTACAACGCAGCAGTGAACACAAACCCCAAGAAAGATGGGCAGGTGAGTGAGGCATCCCAAAGGGAACTGGCTCAGCACTGTGAAGAAGAGCTATTCCCAGAGGGGACAGAGGAGGAGGAACATTCGAGAATGAAGCGCCCAGAAGGCCCACGGGGGCAGCAGCACCAAGCGCACACATGCAACCCCCCCCCAAGTGGAGCAGGAGGAATTGTACTTCCTTACCTGTTCGCATACGCACAAATGTTATCTATGAGGGAGAGATTCTTCAGAGCTGCCTCGACTTTCCCCAGAGAGACGTATTCGCCAGCCTGGAGTTTCACAAGGTCCTTTTTACGATCTGCACACAACGAAAGCCAGAGAGGGGGGAAGGCACATCCAAGGAGGAGACGTTAGGGACAGCTTCAGCTCCAGGCCCACCCACTGAATTCATGGCAACAGCTCCACTCAAATTAAGTCCAAATCAAAGTCGTACCATTTTAACATCTCTATTTAAATTAAAATTAAAAAAAAAAAAAAAGCCATTTCTGAGTAGGGAGCTATCATGAGCGATGATCCTAGTGAACCCACAGTGCAGGAGGGAGAAGCTGCAGACACAGCGTCCCTCCATCCCTCCATCCCTCCCACACCACCGGCCTCTCTGCACAGCGTGGCTGCCTGGGAGACAGCTGGGGAGAACCAGGCCCAACCTCTGGGCCTCCTGCAGAGGGGACCAGAGGCCACAAGGCAGAGGTGCCTTGGACGGGGCTTGAGGCCCAGACAAAGCTTGGGCGGGGGGGAAGGGGGGGAAGAGGACCTGAGAACCTCGGCATTCAGTGACCACACAGTGGCAGCAGAAAAGGCCGTTCCCGGGGCCAACGTGACAACAGAAAGGCAAGCCCAAGAGTGCAGGAAGAGATGCAGGCCGATCTACAGCCAGGGACCATGGGAGGGAGGGAAGGAGGGAGGGAGGGAGGGAGGGAGAAGGAGGAGAAAAAGCGGGGGAGCTGTGGCCTGAGACCGGCAGCGCTGTAGGGAGCAGGACTAGAACAGTCATTCACTGGCTGAGAACAGGGGAAGGGGCTCTGTTTCAGACAGAGCCCCGCTGCCCCGCCCCCGGCCACGTTCAGCCTGGCTGAGTGTGAGACAGAGTGCCAGACCCGGTGGCGAAAGGGGGCCACACCACAATTCACACCTGTGCACGCTCTGCCCGGCCCAGAGGGATGGCCTCACCCACGCAAGGGCAGGCTCGGGCCCAGCACGCCCAAACTTTTAGGCTGGGGAGACAGTACAAGGAAAGTGAGGTGCTTGCCAGGCACTCAGCTGACTCTGGTTCAACCCCCCAGCCACACCCATGATCTCCTGAAAAACCACCAGGGGTGGCCCTGACTACCAAGTAAGAAGCAAGCCTTGAGGAGAGCCAAGTGTGGAACCCGAACCAGAAAAAAAAAAAAAAAAAAAAAAGAATTCACAAAAATGAATCTGCCGAATAAAGAATGACCCTGGCTCTGTTCTGTGGCCACGTGTGTTCAGGAGCTGTGCCCCGGTGACCACGAGATGCCTGGGACCTGGGGGCTGACCCTGGGCAGGCTTGGACCTTAGATTCTGTTTATGGGCCACACCCGGCAGTGCTCAGGGCTGACTTCTGGCTCTGTGATCAGAGAACTATATGGGATGCTGGAGATCAAACCTGGGTCCACCTCCTGCAGGGCAACTACCCTATCCACTCTACTACCTGGCCCCTCAAGGATGAGTTTTGTTTTGTTGGGGGTCTTTTTGTTTTGTTTTGTTTTTGCTTTTTGGGTCACACCCGGTGATGCACAGGAGTTACCCCTGGTTCATGCACTCAGGAATCACTCCTGGAGGTGCTCAGGGTACCATATGGGATGTTGAGAATCAAACCTGGGTCGGCCGCGTGCAAGGCAAACACCCTACCTGCTGCGCTATTGCTTCAGCCCCAAGGTTGATTTTTTTAAGGGTATCTAACAGAAATTACAAATACTACTGCTGTTGATTCGTAGCATCTCCATTGTAAGTTGCATTTCACATCTTTCATACAACAGACCGTGCCAACATCATGGAACAGTATCTTCGTATTATCTAACGGCTTCTCTAGTTACACCGTATCTCTTCTGTCCAACACTTTTCAGCAAGATCCCTTTTCTAACCTGTACACGGTAACTCACCAATAATCTTTAGACAACCATCAGGGTCAAACTCCCCAATATCTCCAGTACAGAGCCACCTCTGACCATTCTCGTCTTCAAAGAAATCAGCTTTTGTTTTCGCTTCATTTTTGTAGTATCCCATTGTTACATTTGGGCCACCAATAAGAATTTCACCTCTGGGGTGTGGTTTATCAGTATTAAAGTATCCACCTTAAAAAAATAAATAAGTTGCAGTTAATTCAGCATTTCTACATGAAAAAAGATCTCGAACTATTACTTTCTAACTAAGGCAAACCCATTTTAATTCAATTAGTTTCCTAAAGGAAGCAAGGCTACTACTACTAAGAGACTCATGAACATAGAGCCAGGTACATAATTGCAGCTGCTTAACCCTAAGGGTAGGAGCGATAGCACAGCGGTAGGGCGTTTGCCTTTGCCTTGCACGCAGCCAACCCTAAGCAGTTAGGATTCTAAACTACTGATCAAAAAATGATGCCACCGATATCTTCCATCTCCTGTATAAAGTAATTACAAATACCACAGAAATGAATTCCATTAAAGATGATTATCGTAACCATTTTGATGAGTATTTTTGTTTTGTTTTGTGGGGGGGGGGGGGGCACTCCCAGCTGGTCCAATGGGGTGACTCCTGACAATGCTCAAGGATCGCTCCGGGTGGTCTCAGGGACCGTAAGTGGTGCCAGGGTTCGAATCTGAACAAGGCTGCAGGTTAGGAAAGAACCGTACCTGCCATACTACAGCTCTGATCTCTTAATTAAAAAGAAACCTCCATACAAAATCAAATTACTACTTTAGAAGGTTTAGTTCTTAGTATTTCAAAATGAGTCTTATTTATTTCAAAACGAATCCTACTTACTGCTTAATCTCACAAATTCTGCCGCAAGCCATAAAATGAGACCCAAACATCAAAATCTAGGATTTTCATTTTTTGTCCACTTTTTCAAGTCACAGAATCTTCGTTGTGTTTTTTGGGCCACACCCAGCTGTGCTTGGAGCTTACTCCTGACCCTGCACTCACGTCTCACCCCTGGTGGGCCATAGGGAACAACAGGTGGCCAGGGATAGAACCTGAGTCAGAATTGTTCAAGGAAGACAAGTTCTCTGACGCCATGTGTAAAAAAAATCTTAATCTTTACTTTGCAAGGAGAAAAGTGCATCTAAGTAATTTAACATTACTTACTAGGAACTAATAGTATTAGCTATTTTCATTTATATAGCATCAACCACAGACTTTCATGAAATAATTGTGTAAATTTCTCTCTCTGTGACTATGCATTAAACCCCAAGGGGTAAAGAGAAAAGAAACTTTAAAAATTCTTTATAAGAGCTTTGCGGCAGCCCGACACATTGTAAGACACTTCCACCCATTTATGCCTCTCAGAGAGAGCCCGGCAAGCTACAGAGAGTATCCTGCCCACACGGCCAGAGCCTGGCAAGATCCCCTTGGCGTATTCGATTACGACAATAGGTCTCAATTCCCTAACCCTGAAAGAGCCTCCAATCGTTGGGAAAAGACGAGTTCAAAGAGGCTGCTAAAATCTCAGAACTGGGAGGAAGAGAGACGTTACTGGCACCCGCTTGAGTAATTCGACAATTAACGGGATGACGGTTATGCAGTGAAGAGCAGATTTTGTATCTAGAAGAGTTATGATCACTCCTAATTCACACTTAAGAAAAACAACTAATTCCCCTAAATGGCCTTTAAGACAAGCAAAATATACACAGAAATGTAGCTATTTCTATTATTAAAAAATGAAGTTATAGACAAGTTTCATCTTTTAAAATATGGATGAAAATGAAGTTTAGAGGTTAAAATGACATCAATTAGTGCTCTGTGGTGAAACAGGTTCTTACCTTCCTCCCAGTTCTTTAGTTTAATTTCACAGCAGACCAACGGTGCTCCCACTCTGCCAGTATTGTAGTCCCACACTAAGATCAAATGAGAAACAGCAGGTACAGCAGTTAATATATTTTTCGAAGTGACTGAAAAATGATTAATTCATCCCCACGCTTAGACGCCCTTCAGAGCAGAGGCCGCAAACTGGGTCCTGCCAGGCCGTGTGGCTCCTGGCCTCAACTGAACATTTAACCACCAAGACACCTTTATCTGCAAGTGTGCAACCTGTAACTGTGGTCTCCGCATAAGGGGGCCCCTTGCTCCGGCCCCTGTCCCTGATCCAGGTCATTATCTTATCACTCGTTGGAAGTAAGATGCCTGGTTGGCGGGTCGGGAGCCCCTATCTTAGAAAGGACAAGGAGCTTCAGCATTTAAAACCCCCTCCACTGGGAGGCGGGGGAGCAAACGCTGCGCCCACTCTCCTCGCTCGCGAGCTGGTTCCTGGAAAGCGCTCCTCAGCCTTGGGCCACAGCAACAAGCTCTGAGAGGCGAACTCTATACCTCAGGCGACTCTCTCCCTCCACTTCTGAATGTGACTAATACCTTTTCTATTTTTTTTTTTTAAATTTTAGGGTCACACCGGTAATGCACAAGTTACTCCTGGCTCATAAACTCAGAATTACTTCTGGCAGTGTTCAGGAGACCATATGGGATGCTGGGAATCGAACCCAGATCGGCCACACGCAAGGCCAACACCCTGCCTGCTGAGCTATCGCTCCAGCCCCTCTGATAACCGTCTTCATTTATTTGTTTGGGGGCTGCATCCAGCAGCGCTTCAGGTTGACTCCAGGATCACTCCTGGCAGGGCTCAAGGGACCAAATGGGATGCCAGGGATGGAACCCGGGTCTACTGCATGCAAGGCAAGCGCCAAGCGCCCTCCCCACTGAACTACGGCTCTGCCCCCAGCATCTAATACATTCTTCAACAACCAGACAAATGGAAATCTTTAATTAACTGATGGAGAAAACGATGCCGGTCAAAACTAGAACTTCTAGAATGTCAAGTTTTAAGACTTACTACCATCGTGTAATTATTAACAGCCCTGGGGTGAATTACTGACTACGAGCTGTACCTACTGCAGCCTGACTACAAAGCACCCCCAGGACTTGGCTTAACCAGGACGACACCGGTACTTGAGCGGCTCCTCTACAGAGCTGTTGGGGAAGCCCGCGGGCCTCGGCCCCGTCAGGGTGCTCGCTACCTTCGGTGATGGTGCCGGCCCCACACGATTCCGTGAGTCCGTAGCCCTGGCCCACGGAGCAGCAGAAGCAGATATTCATGAACCGCTGTGTGGTCGCGGAGAGAGGGGCGCCCCCACATAAGAGCAGCCGCGTGTTTCCACCCAGCAGGCTCCGAACTTTCCGGAAAATGAAGCTTTAAAATAAGAGAAGAAAACAGAATGAGAAGCAGTGGGTTTATGGCCTGCACGGGATTTCCCTGGTTCTTTCGTTTCATCTTGGGGCCCCTCCTCAGCAGTGCTCAGGAGTACCCCCCGGCTTGCAGAGCTCAAGGATAACTCCGGGAGGGGGTACTGGGGCTCGAACCAGGACTCAGCAGCGAACCATCGCTCAGGTTCACCTCTCTCAACCGTTAAATAGGAGGTTGTGCGGTTGACTAAATCAGTTACCTACTGCCACGTACCTGGGAATTCTCTTGATGGCCATTTTTTGTGTCTTACATTTTTGAACTTCCATCAAACAGATAATCTGCCTTAAAAACTTTTTAAGTAGTTATTTGAACTTTCAGTTGTCAGGCTTCATTTTATACCATGAAAAAAACCTTTGCTAGGTTTTTTGAGAGCAGTTAGTCTTATGTAATTACAAAAGCACATACAATACATACCATACGGTAATGCAGGAAGGGAGAGAGAGGACAGTCTGTGGTAAAACTGACCACCCTACCACGAAACTCAGCGTTTAATCACATCTGGCTCATTATTTACACTGAGCCATTTCTCAAAATAGTTACAGCCGTGTATCCACAAAACATAAGCACACTATCAAAAGAATTGTAAGCGAACTATTTTAAAACAACAACTGCAACTTAAAAAATCATTCCTACAGTTACTCTAGATGGGTTTTAAAGGAGTTTCTTTGGTCTTAAAAAAAAATGTGCAATAACAATTTTGTTAAGTGGACCATTTATGTGAACGCACTTCAATTACCAAGGACCCTGACTTACCGGTCACACAGCGGAGTGCTGTACCCTTTGGAAATCTGTTCCATTTTGTAATTGTACGCCAGGATAAACAGATGACGTTGAAAACTACTCATTTCATTCACTTTATTCATAACATTTTTGTAGATCCGATCCATGATTTCCTGGAGGTAGAGGAAGCACAAGTCAGTGGCGCTGCTTCAGCTGCCCTCCCGCTCAGAGCCTGCACGGCCACAGCTATCGGTCCCTTCCCGAGGTCTGTTACTCTGGCAGCGACAAACTTTTAAAACAGCTGCAATCCGGATGAAAGTTAGGCCGTGCTTTTCACAGCAATAGAGAGATACTCGTATCTGTAGTCAAGGGGGGTGGAGAAGACAGCTAAAGAAGAGGCTCGGTGTAAAGAGCATGTGTCATGGGCAGAATAAGGCAGCGACAGAGAGAGAGAAACAGACAGACAGACGCACGAACCACAAACACGCTCAGCAGTAAAGAGCACACATGTGCACGTGCACAAACCAACAACACACACAAGGCTGGTAGTTAAGAGCACGTGAGCATGCAAGGCAGCTTAAACCCCACATACACACACACACACACACACACACACACACAGCTCAGTGTAAAGAGCACGTGTGCATGCAGGATACCCAGTTTGTAAAGCACCAGAACACGGACACAGACACAGACACACAGACACACACAGAGCCCCACGGCAATAAATGCCACTGGTGATCTATTTAGTATCTTACTAAATCTGAACTAGGAATTAAACTCACACATGAACTGCTCTGTGGAACAGTACGCAGTGGTGAGAGCTTTCTCAGAGACAAGAGAGCGTCACCTCGCCGGCACCATAACCAAAGGAACAAGGGCTGTTTTCCGTGTTCTGAGTTTGCTGACTTCTTTACTGTCCTCTACTGCTGCACCTGAGAAATTTCCCTTAGCTACACTACACTTGCTTGCCAAGCCTATGAATATGCAGCACACCTTCAAAACTATACCTGAAATTGATTTCCTCTACAATCTTAGACCGCATGTGATTTTTTTAAGTGAATTTAAGAACTGAAAGTAAAACACTACAAAGCTATATACCTATATAAATGCCAGAACTACCAATTATCTACACCTTTCTTTGGAGGAACTATGCAATATACACTTGGATGTGAGCACACAGAAAATAATCCAGTCTCCTTCGCCCTCCAAAAAAATCCCCCCAACCTCCAAACCGAAACAGAATGAGACGAAAAACATATTAAGTGGCCTAAGATAGCATACGGGTTAAGGCACTCGCCTTGAATGCAACTGACTCCCAACTTGTCCTCTGAGCACAGAGCAGGAATAGCCCCTGAGCACAGCCAGAGGTGACCCCCAAAATAAAACTAAAGACAACTGAGTAGACAGAAAATAACATTCCTGTCTCATTTCTACCGATCTTGCATCTAGGAAAGATTCCCCCCACCCCACCCCCATAAGCTCTCAAACAATCTGCACAGAAGAGGAACATCTCATATCCTCCATCCTCTCTGCTGCTAGTCTATGGGGTCCTATGAACAACAAACATGTCCCCGGAAAATGGGAGCTAAAGGCTGGAGAGGCAGCACAGCTGGCGGGGCGGCTTGATACCCAGCACCCCATTCAGGACCCCGAGCACTGTCGGGGGTATCCTGAAGTGCAGGGCCAGGAGGAAGCCCGAAGGTGTGTCCCCGCCTAGAAAATAAACTAAGTAAGTAAAAGGGCTATTGGGGGGAAAGGTCCTGTAACATCGTTTAGGACAAAATTAAGCTAAAGCAAGGCAGGGTGGTTCCTGCAGGGCTGCAACCCCGGGGGCCAGCAGGGTTCCTTCATACGCTCTGCGGCAGACGCGTCGCCCGCCTCCGGTGCTCGAGCACCAAGGACGGTGAGTTCTTACTGGAACAGCGGCCATCAGCGTGGGTTTCAGCATGGACGTGTCTCCTTTGCTTCCTTTCTTTATTTTTGAAGACTAGGAAGAGAAAACGCAATCAATACGGTGGTCCTCAGGTTTCTGTGTTTTTTTTTTTAATTCAATGGACTTTTGAGATCAAAATGTAAATTTTGAACTTGTCTTAATTAGAAAACACACGACGTGGGGGAGGGGGGTAGAGAGCTACTTCGGCAGGTGCAGCACTCGCCTCTGCCTGCGTCTCTTTGTACACGGCCCACCTGGGTTCGATCCCTAGCAACCAATATGCATGGTCCCCTGAGCACTGCCAGGAGTGACCCCTGAGTGCAGAGCCAGGAGGAAAAGCCCTGAGGAGCGCCAGGGGTGGCCCCCGAGCCAAAGCTACTCCCCAAATAAATAAAATTAGCAATCACATGAAAAGCCGGGTGCTTCATTTCAAACAGATGACCATCAAACAGATGAGCACCCCCACCTCACAGCTGCGTCAGGCTGACAGCAACAAAGTGATGGTTTCTCACCACCCAGACTCACCTGATCTGCTCACTCACCTGATCTGCTAAAGTCTGGGGCGAAGAGTAGCCAATGCGGCATCCGTGAGACAGGCAGACGAGCTCAGCACTTAACTCGAGGACATGGGCCAGCGGCAAGTAGCCGATATACACATCTTCCTCCCTGCGGGAAGCAGGTCAGAGGGGTGCGCTGTGAGCAGGCACGGGGGCGGGTCCCTGGCAGGACACTGGCCCCGTGTGTGTGTGTGTGTGTGTGTGTGTGTGTGTGTGTGTGCGCGCGCGCGTGCGCGCGCGTGCGCGTACCCGATGCCTAGCCCCCGGGCACGCATCCCCCGTGCTGCTGGAGCAGTGACTAGGGAACCGTGCCTCAGTCTCCCCCGCCACCCCAGTTGCCTTGCCCTGCTCCACCGGATCCTGCCTTCCCAAGACAAACCAGAGGCTGAGCACAGAAGATCAGTGCCCAAATCATGCATGATATTGAGGATAGGAGTGAGGTCATGGAGCCCAGGGCCACCCCAGTGAGGCTGCAGTTCAGGGCGCGGGTCTGAAGAATGCACAGCTGCTCGGGCCACACCCGGCAGTCAGTGCTCAGGGGCCTCGAGGAGGCAGGGACGGGAGGGGTAGGTGGTGACGGAGGTGAAATGGGGGGGCCCCAAGCACTCGGTCGAATATAAAAATGACTGCGGGGTAAAATGATCTAAATGAACAGACGGAAATCAATCCAGGCTTATACTTTAGGGGGATGGCTGGGTAGGTGTGTGGGTGCAGCCCCATCCCCCACCGCTTGAAAAAAAAATACCTGTGCTTTCAAAGGAAAAAACTATTGTTTTTCTATCAGTAAGGCCGGAGAATCAGCTCAGGTGATAGAGGGTCTGCCCTGCATGGGATGGCCTGGGTTAAAGTCCCCAGCACGCACACACATGCATGCAGCTCAGGTGGTAGAGTATGTCTTGCATGGAATGCCCTGGATTAAAGCCCTAGCGCACGCACGCACGCGCGCACACACACACACACACACACACACACACACACACACAACACCCCACCACCACCACCATCCCCAACTGTAATTTTAATGTCCTTTTAACTGAAGAACACCCACTGTAAACAGATTCTGAGCCTGACCATAACTACCAAACGACAAAAAAATGTCCCCAGAATAAGCGCAGGCCATGCCAGTTTCTCAGCTCTGACCTACCCCAATCGTGGGATCCTTTCCGCCATCCCAGTTATCCCAGCAATGATGTTGCTGTGGGAGATCATGACGCCCTTGGGGAGTCCCGTGGATCCACTTGTGTACATGATCACTGCGATGTCCAAAGGCAGCGGTCTGCTCTGTGGCGTGCTCTCTGTACGGGAGCAAAGACAGACATGGTCCACAAACCAGCATTCGTTAGGAGAGCAACAGCTGGGGCAGGATAGTGGGTAGGGCATTTGCCTGGGCATCCCTTTTGGGTCCCCCAAGCACCACCAGGAGTGATTCCTGAGTACAGAGCCAGGAGTAACCCCCTGAGCATCGCTGGGTGTGACCCAAAAAAGAAAAAAAAAATTAAAGAAAGCAACTGTTAATCAGACACATACAGGCATCAAAGAACAGGAAACAATACCAGCTCATAAAAACAGCCCACTGGAAGGGACAAATGCATAACGTTAGATTAGAAAACCTAGGAAGACTCTACTGAGCGGATGTTTCAGTGAAGAACAAAGTAAGACAAAGGGGTGGGTGTGGAGCTCCAGGGTTTGATACTGTTCTAAGCAGATAATAAGCCCCGAGCCAGAGAGATGGGTGTGGGGCGGAGGACGGGGCCAAGTAGCAGGGAATGAGAGGCTGCCCACTCCCCGGCCTCGGCCGGGCTGCCATGGGCTCGTCCCGAGAGGGAAGCAGGGGCGTGCTCGGTAGACAGCGGCTTCTGGCGTTCTGACAGGATCACTTTAGCCATTAACGGAGATGGGGGTAAGGAAGACATTGGGCAGGGCTCTTGCCTTGCCACGCCCTTGACCCAGGTTCAATCCCAGGCACCTCGGTAAGTCTTTAGCACAGAGTCGGGAGCAAGGCCTGAGCACCACTGGGTGTGGCCCAAAAGCAAATAGCGGCAAAGCCGTTGGGCGGGGGGGGGGGGGGGGGGGTAGTAAAGGTGGAGGGGGAGAGGGAAGGGATGAGAGGGGAGGCGGCAAAGGCCTCGACCTCGTGGGCCGGCTAACTTGCCAGCAGCCTCCCTGCCACAGCACCAGTCGCCAGCAGCACCTCGCGGGAGGGTCCTCTGCAATCCACTGCCAGACCAGCCATCAGCACCGTTGACGCCGACCTCCTCAGACTCTCCTTTCCCCCTGGGGCCCACACTAAGGTTCGCACTTTTCTGGCTGGCCCTGGGTGCCCCGTGGAGGGAGCCCCTCACTCTCAGTGGGGACGGAAATTCTTTCTGCCTCCAAGAGCCTAAATCTCTTATATTAGCCCTATGGCCGGGCAGAAGGGAACCACTGTCCCAAGACGCTCTCGGTTTCTGCCGACTTCCCAAAGACCACGGGACTAGCACGCTGACACCTGACTGGGTCACCATGGCTGGGGCTAGAAAGCCATGCACCGCCCCCCACCCCCCAGGGAAAGGAAGCGCTGAACCCAGGAATGAAAGGTGGGGCACAGACTCGGCTGAGCAAGAAGTTTCGTACAGGAAAAACATGATGACGTGATTTCTAAACCTTTAAATCACCTAAAACCATGTGAAAGGGGTATTGTATAATGTAACAGGTATACCAGTTTTAAACATTTTGAACGTTAAATTAACTTTTGTAATTTTCTTCCCTTTAGTTTTTTATTTTTGCTTTTTGGGATACCCAGTGATGCTCAGGGTTATTCCTGGCTCTGCACTCAGGTATCACTCCTGGCAGTGCTCAGGAGACTGTATGGGATGCCAGGAATCAAATCTGGCAAGGCGAATGCCCTCCCTGCTGGACTGTAGCTCAGTCCCCTGCAACTTTTCCTTAAGCCTCCCAGCAGTCTCCAGAGCACACCCCTCCTCTCTGCGTGAATGAAGGCCTGGCAGAGGGCCAACGGCATCGGATCTGACCTAAGCGGTCAGCCGCCCGGAGGGGCCGCGGGCACCGCAGACGAACCTACCTGCGCTGGACTTGGCGCCCAGGGCCTGCACAGCCGCCATGGTGTGCACAATGACGCCCTGAGGGAACTCGGACCACGTGGGAGGCTTCCCGTCCACGGTGATGATGTGTCGCAGGCGCGGGACCAGGGACACGATGTCCTGGGGAGAAACAAGCATCCGTCATGGCCGCGCGACCAACAGAGCCCGCCCAGAGCCCTGCACGGAGACACGGAGCTTTCTAAGTAGTGCCTTGCCCTCAAAAAAAAAAAAAAAAAAAACCAAAAAAAAACAACGGGCGGTGTATATATTTCGTTTTTCATCTGCAATGTATGACTGATATTTCAGATGAAGAACTCCTGGTCTAAAATGGAACGACTGAGCACCCGAGGCATCGGGTGCACCCGCTGTTTGGTAAAATCCACTCGAACACTCAATTCCTTACAGAACAGATGTGCCCCTTACCGTAACCTGACAAAACAACGGTAAGCAAATGCCCCTCTTGTATTTTAAGAGGGGCAAGACCCTCCTCGTCTTCAGAGGGGGCCTTCTACAAACCAAAGAAACCCCTTTTCCTGGGGTTGATAAGGTGCTCTTTTGAAAACTGTGGAAAACGCATGGCAAGGCTTCTGGAACCTGGTCCATTTTCTCCTTTTCACAGAAATGAATGGCCCTGGTTCGTTTTCTCCTTTTCACAGCACCCCTAAACGTCACAAAGGTGTTGGAGCACACGGACTCTCTCCTCATTGCAGCCCGGCCGCAGAGCCCAGGGTCACGAGACAAGGGCAGGGGAAACGCAGCCCTCACCTTCAGCTTGGTCTGCAAGAGCTCTTTGCTGGTGATGATGTTGGTGACTTCCGTTTCATTTAACCCGTGCACGATGGCAGGGCCTCCGAGGGTGGCGTACAGCGTGACAACTGGCGGAGGGAGAAAGGATAGGTCAAAGACAGGATCACCTCACTGCAGCGCGTGCACCTTCTAGAGGAGCAACAGGACCATCCTAACCCATCAGACCCCCGATTTCTCCAACAATGCCTTGCTTTTAAAATCATTCCGCGGGGCTGGAGTGGTAACACAGCGGGCAGGGTGTTTGCCTTGCACGCAGCCAACCCGGGTTCGATTCCCAGCATCCCGTCTGGTCCCCCGAGCACCACCAGGAGTAATTCCTGAATGCAGAGCCAGGAGTAACCCCTGAGCATCGCTGGGTATGACCCGAAAATTAAAAAATAAATAAATCACTCCGCGGATGCTAATAAACTCTCGGTCCACTTGCTAGGTGGTTTCGCCTCAGACTTCCAATGCCAAATTGAAGACTGGGCTTTAGTATTTCTCCTGCTGCTCAGCTACCCCCCTGCTAAAAGAGGTTCCAGCCCCACTACTCTACGGACTGGACCACTTGCCCCACAGCTGGTTTCTTTCCCGACAGACCAGGAAAAAGCCAAGCTGTAAGAAACTGGTGCAAAGTGAACATTAAAGTGGGGTTTCTTCAAAATAGGAGATTAATACCCAAGAATAGCCAAGATCAGTACCAGGAGGATTACTCCATGGCTTAGAGGCCAGCCGGGCATTCTAGGGGAAAGGGCAGCTCAGATAGAGAAGGGAGCACCAAATAAAGGGTGTTTGGAGGATCCTCCCAGGAGGGGAGATGCATGTTGAAAGTAGACTATGGACCGAACATGATTGCCACTCAATGCCTCTTTTGCAGACCACAACACCCAAAAGGAGAGAGAGCAAAAAAAGGGAATGCCCTGCCACAGAGGCAGGGTGGGATGGGGGCGGGGGGGACGGGTGTGGGAGGGATACTGGGATCCATGGTGGTGGAGAATGGGCACTGGTGGAGGGATGGGTATTTGATCATTGTATAATCGAACCCCAAGCACAAAAATTTGTAAGTCTACAACTGTACCTCATGGTGTTTCACTAATAAAATTTTTTTTAAAAAAGTGGGGTTTCTTAAGGCCTTAAGAATTTAAATATAATAGAGGACTAGCATCATGCCTCCCCCAGTTGATAAACCACCACCGCCAACCCCACGCTCCCTGGCCCGTCAACCTACGCTGGAAGTTATACATGAAGCACGCCTGGGCCGCGATCATCCACTCAGCCCGGGTCTCGCAGAAGATGGCGATGTTGGTTTTGGGTTTCTGGCCCAACATCTGCAAGCCATTCCCGAAATTAAGGGCTCTCACGAAGACATCTTCATAGGAGAGCCAATTATAGTGTCCAAGAATAACCTGGCAAAAGAAAAGGCAGACAAGGGAGTCTTAATCAGGCTTCCGACCTTTGATCCCTGCTTACCAGGTATGAGGGGCAACACCACACCCACGTGAGCCACAGGACCCTCTTTGAAAGCTGCAATGATCTCAGATCAGACTGTAAAAACTAAACCGCATGTAGACTGATCCAAAGTTTATAACTGATCTTAAAACTATACAGCTCCATTAATGTCTCTGAAACCATTAAAGCCAGCTCCAGTTCTAGCCAGGAGGTGGGAAGAACACAGATAAATACTGCCCTCTACCGTCCTGTTTCATGATGGCCTTGGATCACTGCAAAGGGTAAGGGCATTTCAAGTCTCTAACTTTAGGATCCCTTGAAGCACTTCCAAGCCCTGCTCAGCACAGCCATCCCTGATGACTTCAAAGGGAGCTCAGCAGTGGTGAGAACTTGCACAGACTACACAGGAGGTGAATTACAAGGAAGAATTTCCCATTCCATTAAGTTCTGGAACTGAGGCATTAAGACACTGCCTCAGTTCCCGAGAATAGATGCGTCCTGAAAAGGAATGACATACTACAGATACATATATCATGTGGCCAAGAAAGCAAAGCATGAGTGTAACTGGATCTGAATTTGAGGATTCCTTAGCCTTCTAGCAGGGAATCTTTCCCAGAGAGCACTGTAGCACTGTCCTCCCGTTGTTCATTGATTTGCTCGAGTGGGCCCAGTGATGTCTCCATCGTGAGACTGGTTGTTACTGTGTTTGGCATATCAAATATGTCACGGGTAGCTTGCCAGGCTTTGCCATGCGGGCGAGATACTCTTGATAGCTTGCCGGGCTCTCCAAGAGGGGCGGAGGAATCAAACTCAGGTCAGCCTGGTCAGCTGCGTGCAAGGCAAACGCCCTACCCACTGTGCTATTGCTCCAGTCCTAAAATCTTTCCATGACCGGGAATTCAACAAAAACCCATTAGCAAAGGCAAAGGCTTCTGGAGCCTCTGGGGTGGGATTTGGCAGAAGGGTGGTAGGAGGCTGCACTGCACTTAAAAGACCCTCTCTGGGCCAGAGAGCCAGCCCAGGAGTGATCCCTGAGCAGTCAGGGACTCAAACAAACCCAAGACCCTCCCCACCTCCCAATCTGACCCATGCTGCCCAAGCACCAAGCACCTAGCACCGCACTGAATCCCAGATCATGAAACTCGGTGATCGGCGACCTCATGACACTAATTTCTCCACCTCTCGAATGCTCCATGAAACCTCCCTACTCAGATATATCCGTTCTCGTCTTACAAGTGAGAGCCCTGTTGCGCTCCCAGACATCAAGAGAAATTACAAAAGCTATAGAAGAGCACTTTGCTCTGAGCAGCGTCCGACACTCGAACCCAGATCCCAAAGTCTCTCAGGCCCCGCACGGCAAAGGGTCCCAGGCCAGACTTGGGTCCTCAACGCACCTCCCCAGATCCCCTTCCTTTATTCACAGATTATTCAACGAAGACATCCTGAAGTCCGGTAAAAACGGAGTTTGAAACTTTTATTCAGTTTTGTTTGAGAGCCACAACGGGCAGTGCTCAGGGCATACTCCTGACTGTGCTCAGGGATCGCTCCTGGGATGGAGCTCTAGAAACCAGATGGGATTGCCCGGAGAGAACCCGGGTCAGATGCACAAAAACGCACTACCCACTGAGCTATCACTCTGGCCCCTGGTGTTATTTCCAAACACTACCCAGGTCTACATCCAACTAAAGGAATCTGGAGAGCGCCTGTCTCCTGGTGCCCAGCTCACACCTTCCGACTCTGGTGCTTGGTCACTCGGCCATGACGGCACTTACAAGTCGAACGCCTTGCTGGAACAGCAGAGGTCCAGGCAAGTTGGGGCTTAGGACCCACCTGTCAGGAGATGATCACTTGGAGCCACACCCCACCCACCCCGCATCCTCCCTTACGTGCCACCACCACGCGTCTCAGTTACCTGCTTCCGGGCTGGTTCCAACAACAAAACCTGCGAGAAGGGGGAGTTTCTCTGCTCCCCTTGTGGCATGGGTGTGAGCACAACCCCAGGTCCTCTGGACCTTGATAGGCTCTTTCAACCTCTCCACCGGAAGCTTCGGGTAACTCTGTGTGTTTGTGTGTGTGTGTGTGTGTTTATGGGCACGTGTGCCTGTGTGATTGACCTGACACAACTTTGTAAAGGTAAATCACGGTGCCTCAACCACCTCTCCCTATCCCACCAAAAAGTAAAACAAAACAAAAGCTAACTTTGTAAATCCACTTTAGGGCACCATGATCCACAAAGCTGTTTCAGACCCACACACCGGTCCCCCACCTGCCTCAGCTGCCCTCTGCCAATGCCCCAAACTGCCCCCCCCACCGCCAGCCTGTCTCTTGAACAGACATGTGTTCAGTGCGGGTGTTCAGAGCACAGTGAATAAAAAACAAGCCCCTGCCCAAGACGGATACGCCATATCTACTTCTGTTCCCAGGATCCCCCCCGCCACACACTGGACACATCCTTCATCTTCGGGGTCTCTGGAATATTCTTACCTACGAGCTACACGAGGTAGAGATGGCCAATATTCTGACCAGGAGGGGTCACGGAGATGAGTGACACTGGTTCATGCGAATGAACCTACGTGCACACTTCTGGAATCTTCAATCTTCAACAGTCTTTACATTTGCAAAGGTGTTGTTTATTTTTTTCCAACTTTAACAAATTTAACTATTTTTGAAAAAGTATTTTGAATGATGCAAAGTTTTTTTTTTTTTTGGAACAGCTAACATGTGCAAAGTTGGGGTGGGGGAGAGGATGAAGATGATCCCTACAGGAGGAGTGTGGGGGTGGGGCCGGTGGGAGGGAAACCAGGACACTGGTGGCGGGAACTGTACATTGGTGGAGGGACGGGTGAGGGAACACTGCATGGCTGACACCCCATCATGAACACCTTCGTAAAGCTCTCTCATGGTGATTCGATTAAAAAATAAAATAAAATAAAATAAAATAAAACAAAATTAAGGGGGGGGAAGAAAGATCCCCACAGTCACTTTGCTGCCTCAGGGTGGTTGACTGTCCTTAACCTAAGGCAGGACAGACGTCACTAGTCTCTCACTGCAGGAACTCGAGAGCATCACAATTTCCTCTGCGAGGGAATGTATGAATGTAAGCGCGGTGGCAATGCCGAGGCTGTGGGGGTTCCATCTCCAAAGTCATTCTAGTGAGGGAGGCAAGTAGAGACATGCACAGAGTCCGCAATAAAATAAAAACCCAAATGCTTCACCGTGTAGGACCCTGAAGAAAGACAGTCTCATGGGGTCGGAGCAACAGTGCAGCGGGAAGGGTGTTTGCCTTGCATGCAGCCGACCCAGGTTCAACCCCCAGCACCCCATATGGCTCCCTGAGCACCGCCAGGAGTCATTCCTGAGTGCAGAGCCAGGAGTAACCTCTGAGCATCACCGGGTGTGACCCAAAAAGCAAATAAATAAATAAATAAAACAAAAAAAATAAAAAATAAAAAACTTAAAAAGTTGTTTGAAATTTCAGACAGTTTCGCGGCCGGAAGAGGTCACTGTGCACAAGGCGCTGACTTCACCAGCAGCCCACCTGGCCCCCAAGCCTGCCAGACTGATCCCTGACCACAGCCAGGTGTGGCCCAAACATCAAAAAGAACCACCACAAAAATGTTGACAGTTTTGCTATGGGGGGCTTCTTTTTGGCAGGGACCATGTGGGGTACAAAGCCGGGCCTCCCACATGCCAGGCTTTGCACACCAGCCCTGTGAGCGTCTCGTCTCCAGGGCCCCACCAGCCTCAATGCCAGTTCAAAGTTTGACCTCCAGGAGCAGTAGAATTTTTTTAATTTTAACCCTCCAGAATCAAGTAATTTCCAAAAGTATATACTTGCTGGCCTTCAATAAAGTACACCTGGTTTCATTTAGCCTCAGTGTCTACAAATCGAGATCTTACAAAAAGAGTTTGTGTGGGAGCCAGAAAGAATGAAGAAATCGCGAGATTCAAGAGACGTGTGGGTGGACGGTGATGGTCCCGGGGCCAATAACCCAGGGTACCTTCTCTGGTACTTCCAACGAAACTCAATTATGCAGCAAGAATCAGTGCACTAAATCTCTCCAAATAACTCTCAAGGTACCATTATCATCATCCCCATTTTATGGATGCGAATGCTGAGGTAAGAACGAATCACTTTTTCAATCAGCCTAATCAGTGGCTGAATAAATAGTAGTACTCCTACACTATTAAAAAAAAAAAAAGGATCACTTTCTCAAGATCATACAACTATCGGGCAGGAAGCGGGGCCTGTTCCGGTGGGTCTCACTCTGACGGCGCTACAGCAGAGGCAGGGGCTGGGGCACTGGTGGGTCCCAATCAACGGCCCGTTCCCAGACTCCTGGCTCTGTGCTCCGAAGTGGGGGGAATCGTATGTGGTGCCAGGACAGGAACCGGGATCTGATTCTCAGCACCTCGGCTGCTGTACTGCCCCACCCTGAGCTGGGAGATTATGATCCCCTGAGTAAGGAGACCTGGGTGACAGCTGCAAAAGATCATCTCGACTCCTGGGTTGGTGGTTTAGAGACAAGAGCAGAAGCAGATGACTGTGGGCGGGGAAAGGGCGGGTGTCTGGAAGGAAGAGGCAAGACAGACTCCGAATTCAGGCTGCAGCCACCGGGGAACAGGCGCCGCCGCTGACAAAGATGCAAGAGGGAGAGGAAAAACAAGCGTGGAAGTGGGAAGCGAGAGTCCTGGCTGAGGACTGTCACGAAATAACCAAATCACAAACCCGAGCCCAGCGGTGTCAGGCTGTGAACGTCCTAGGAAGTTAGGAGACAAATATGCAAATAGGGTAACACAGAATTGGGGCAAGAAATCAGAACACAGAAGTAGGGACAGGAGAAGGGGAGGGAAGAAAAGCCCACCCACCACCTCACATGGGTGGAAACGGAAGTTCTGTTACCTAGTTAGATCAATCAGGGATGTCCGAGAAGATCTGGGACCTCAACGGGGGAAT